ACACACACACACACACACACACACACACACACACACACACACAATAAATCTATGTATGCAGCTGGAACTGACACACACAATACAACCATGTGTGTCGCTGGAACACACACGCTATGTCTGTCTATGCAGCTGGAACATACACACACACACACGCTACGTCTGTGTCTATGCAGCTGGAACACACACTCACATCCACAAAATATCTGTATAAACAGCTGGAACCTACACACACTCACACATCTATGTATGCAGCTGGAACTGACACACACAATACAACCATGTATGTCCCTGGAACCTACACACACACACACACAATACATCTGTGTATGCAGCTGGAACCTACACCCACCTCCATGTATGCAGCTGGCGCGCACACACACACACACACACACACACACACACACACACACACAATAAATCTATGTATGCAGCTGGAACCTACACACCCAGCACCTGGAAAGGAGATACAGCAGGAATGTGCGAGCAGTATGTAGTTGGAATGTACACACACACCATTTCTTTCTGCAGATGGAGTGTACAACACTCCAACCTTCACAAACTGTCCTCTGTTGCCACATGCACACACTACAGGTGTGCACAGCTAGAAAGCACACACATAGCCCAGACGTATCCGTAGTTGGATTTGTAAAAAGCAACAGAGAGTCCTGTGGCACCTTTAAGACAGGACTCTCTGTTGCTTTTCACAGACCCAGACTAACAAGGCTACCCCTCTGATACTTGACACCGTAGTTGGATTGTACAACATAAAAACCTGCAGCTGAAAAGTGTGTGGGCACACACACAACCTGTGCCCACAGCTAAGACGCTACCCACACCGAGTCTGTTTCCAAGCAGGAGTGTACACACACACACACACCCGCTTGTGTCCCGAGCTGGAATGTGTATACACGCACACTTCATGTCTGGCAGCCGGCAGGTACACGCATAGCACTCGTGCGTGCACATGCATCTCCCAGCTCTCCAGCGTCCTGTCTTCCGAGGGGCGGCGATCCAGGAATGGAGAAGGCGGGGAGAGGAAAGGAGAGCGCCCCGTGAGCCGGACGGACACAGCGGGCACCCAATGCGCACAGACACTGCTCCCGAAGGGAGGGGAGTGGGCAGAGGCTGGGCCCAATGAGGCAGCGCCCGGAGCGGGACTTCCTTCGGGGATTCCACTGCAGCGAGCAGCCGAGGAGCGGAGGTGACACGTAAGTTAAGGGCTGGAAGGTGGCCAGGGCAGGCAGGGAAGTTTCCTTTGTTTCCCGTTCAGGTGGTTGCAGAGTAAGGCGAGCAGGAGGGGAGGGAGCTGGTTAACAGAGACCCCCCCCCGGTAAAGCAGGCAGGAGGGGAGGGAGCTGATGCACAGAGACCCCCCCTCTTAGAGCGGGCAGGAGGGGCGGGAGCTGATGCACAGAGAGCCCCCCCCCCTTAGAGCAGGCAGGAGGGGAGGGAGCTGATGCACAGAGACACCCCCCCTTAGAGCGGGCGGGAGCTGATGCACAGAGACCCCCCCCTTTAGAGCGAGCAGGAGGGGAGGGAGTTGATGCACAGAGACACCCCCCTTTAGAGCGAGCAGGAGAGGAGGGAGCTGACAGAGAAACACGCTCGCCCTCTGACCATCTCCCAAAGCAACCCCAGCAGGAGAGCAGGGAGCTGCTATACAGAGTCCCCCTAACCCAGCACCCACAGACACACTGGTACCCTGGGCAGGAGCACTGCAGCGCACATACCGCCCCAGGCCATAAGACCCGCAGATAGAATGGCAGGGACCAGGGGAGCTGCTGTGTAAAGACACTCCCCCCCATCCTCCAGCACGCGCCCAGTCACCCCAGCAGATGAGCTGCTGCCCCCACCTCTCCCCGCCCTAGAGTAAGGCAGGAGGGGGGCAGGAAGCTGCTCTCTAGAGCAGAGACATCCGCCCCCATCCACCCGCCGGCGGCCACCGAGCCCCCTTCCCGCGGCAGAGAGCCCCCGGGCTGCAGCATGCTCGGGACGGGCGGGCTGCGGAGAGCTCCCGGGTTTCAGGGCAGTAGCAGTGGGAGGGGGCTGAACTAAGCGCTCAGGGTCCCCTCCTCCCGGCTCTGTCCCTTGGTGCCCAATGCTGCCTCCTCCTCCTCCTCCAGCTGCTGCTAAACCGCCTGGGGTGGGGGGGCTCCGGGACCCGAGGAGGGACTATGGGCAACGGGATGTGCTCCCGAAAACAGAAGCGGATTTTCCAGACCTTTTTGCTCCTGACCGTCGCGTTCGGCTTCCTCTACGGGGCCGTGCTGTACTACGAGTTACAGAGCCAGCTGAGGAAAGCCGAGGCGGTGGCGCTCAAGTACCAGCAGCACCAAGAGTCGCTCTCAGCCCAGCTACAAGGTAATGCGGCTTGCAGTGACCTCTGCAGGGGACTCACACCGACCCTGCCCTGTCCCAGTGGCTCCTGAATGCTCTCTCCCCCCGCCCATGCAGAGCCCGGGGCTGCAGCTCCCTAATGCTCACCAAGTTTACTGCCCTCCCCAGACACCAGGTTTTGCTAACTACATGCCAGAGTGTTTCCCCTTGTCTCCATATAACCAAGTGTCCCTGAAATCTTGGCCCCATTGAAGTCAATGGGAGTTTCTCCACTGACTCTGAGGGGACCAGAATTTCCCCTATCTCTCAATCCCCAGGATCCCAAGGCACTTTACAATCTCCTGATTGAAAAGGAACACTCCCAGCGTCCTCCTGTTCTTATTCATCCAGCAACACAAAGACACTTCTTACACAGTTACTTTTGCCAGTTGCTTTAAGTTGTCTTGCCTGTTTTATTCTGAGTCTGCTGCCGTGAGATTCAGCTGTGAGATTATGTGGCTGGTGTGCAGTACACCTGTCATGTAGCTACACCAGGAGAGGAATATTTTAATAATAATAGGTATATTTTTGTAGAACATCCTTACAGGGTTTTTTTTTTAATAAAGATTTGTTAATAACCTTGTGGGGCTCTGAATTTCTTGGCTCAAAGCACCACATTTTTAAAAGTGCCCATTCATCCTGTGCATCAGTTTTAGGATGCCCCCGACTGAACTACTTTGTACCTGATGCTGAGAACTTGCAGCTCCCATTTACTTCAGCACTTCTGAAAATTAGGTGCAAGGTGTCAAATTTATGCATGAAACATCAGTTCAGCAGGAGGTATGGGTCCTCAGTACCACTGAGCCTCCAGCCCTACTGGTTTCAAGTCAGGCACACACAAATCTGTATCTGTTTCTGAAAACTTTGGCCTTACTGTTTATGTTTCCTTCCAAAAACTTTTCCAAGTGGCTAGAAAATGAATATTGATCATGTTATGATAATTAAACATCCAATCACATACATCAATATGTAGGATGAATACTATAGATGTTAATGCAGCCTTTATACAGCAGCAGGATTGGGCTCTCAGTCTATTAATCTCGAGAGAATGAATTATTGAACATGTTTAGCTTGGTCTAAAACAGGGGTGGGCAAACTTTTTGGCCTGAGGGCCACATCGAGGTTGCAAAACTGTATGGAGGGCTGGATAGGGAAGGCTAGGCCTCCCCAAACAGCCTGGCCACTGCCCCATATCTGAGCCCCTCCCACCTCCGACCCTCTGAGTGCCCCTCTCAGAACCTCTGACACTCCGCCCCACTCCTTGTCCCCTGACTGCCCCCTCCCAGGACACCCCACCCCTAACCGCCCCTGGGGCCCCACCCCCTATCCAACCCTCTTGCTCCCAGTCCCCTGACTGCCCTGACCCCTATCCACACCCCCACCCCTTGACAGGCCCCCCGGAACCCCACGCCTATCCCTCCCGTTCCCCATCCCCTGACCCCTATCCACACCCCCACCCCCTGACAGGCTCTCCAGGACTCCCACACCTATCCACCCCCCACCCCCACCCCTGGTTTTCTGTCCCCTGACCGCTCCCCCCCAAACCTCCGCCCCATCCAATCACCCCCTGCTCCCTGTCCCCTGTCTGCCCCCTGGGACCACCTGCCCCTTATCCAATCCCCAGGCCCTGGCCCCCTTACCATGCCGTTCTGGCAGCCACGCCACCTGGCTGGAGCCAGACACATTGCCGCACTGCCCTATAGGAGTGCGCAGCCCTGCCACCCAGAGCGCTGCCCAGAGCACTGCCCGTGTGGCGGCGTAACTGCTGGGGAGGGGGGACACCGGGAGAGGGGCCGGGGACTCGCCTCCCCGACCAGGAACTCAGGGGTCGGGCAGGACCGTCCGCGGGCCATAGTTTGCCCACCTTTGATCTAAAACCATCACTACTTAGTTTTATTACCTCAAATTGAAATACTATAATGCCATGGGAATTTTTTGACAGAATCTTCACCCTAGTAGCCAAGGATGTATAAACATTTGGCTGGGAGATGGGTATGTGGCAGATGGCTAAAGGGTTCCTTTAGCTCAGGGGTCGGCAACCTTTCAGAAGTGGTGTGCCGAGTCTTCATTTATTCACTCTAATTTAAGGTTTCGCATGCCAGTAATACATTTTAATGTTTTTAGAAGGGCTCTTTCTATAAGTCTATAATATATAAATAGACTATTGTTGTATGTGACGTAAATAAGGTTTTTAAAATGTTTAAGAAGCTTCATTTAAAATTAAATTAAAATGCAGAGCATCCCGGACCGGTGGCCAGGACCCAGGCAGTGTGAGTTCCACTGAAAATCAGCTCGCATGCCGCCTTCAGCACGCGTGCCATACGTTGCCTACCCCTGCTTTAGCTAGTTTGCGTTTTTGCCAACACTACTTGAAGAGGAAAGAGAGAAACAGGAACAACTGTTGCCTACTGAAATAAAAATTCAGTAAGTTTTCTGCTGCTCTCACTAAACTAAAGAAAAGCAGAACATACTATCCAAATAAAGGAGAAGGAATCTATAGATGGTAGTCATTGGGGCTGATTTATAAACATTCACTTTCTAAACATTATGTTGAGGACCATTTTCCTATCAAAATAAACAAATACATAAAAGCATAATAAGACAGAAGAACTCAATTAAAAGGTCATCATAATGGATCATGCAGTGTTTTATGTTACAGCCCTCTTACTTTTGATTACTTTTAATTTATTATTGAACAATTAAAATATGAAAGAAAAATCAAATATCAATTATTTTGATTTATAATGTGTTTTTTTTAAAAAAGCACTTATCCTGGACTCTGGGAGACATTGCCAACATATCTACTATGTAGATAAGATTTCCTACTGAAAGATGCCCTGTTTGGCAGTAATAAACCTTTTACTACAAAACACATATGAACACTTTGTAAGAAAAATGAAGAGACACCATCAGTTTAGAAAACACACGAATAGGATTTTTTTTGCTTACTATTTTTACAAGTAACACCTAAGACTAATAGAAATGAAAGAGATTGGAAAAAAAAAAGTTTACTCCACCCACTGTCCCAGTCCCCCCATTTTCTCTATCATTTGCATTTTACAGTCCTTAGAGCCTGATTCTGTACTGCCTTGCATCTTCTTTAGTCATTTCTAGGGCCCTACCAAATTCACGGCCATGAAAAACGCATCACGGACCGTGAAATCTGGTCTCCCCCCCCCCCCTCTCCCCCCATGAAATCTGGTCTTTTATATGCTTTTATCCTACACCATACCGATTTCATGGGGGAGACCAGTTTCTCAAATTGAGGGTCCTGACCCAAAAGGGGGTTTCAGGGGGTCACAAGGTTATTTTGGAGGGGATCATGGTATTGCCACCCTTACTTCTTTGCTGCCTTCAGAGCTGGGCAGCCAGGGAGCAGCGGCTGTTGGCTGGGTACCTAGCTCTGAAGGCAGTGCCCCGCCAGCAGCAGCCGAAGTAAGGGTGGCAATGCCATACCATGCCACCCTTACTTCTGTGCTGCTGCCTTCAGAGCTAGGCAGCTGGACAGTGTCAGCTGCTGCCTGAGGGCCCAGCTCTGCAAGCAGCAGTGCAGAAGTAAGAGTTGCAATACCATACCATGCCATCCTTACGTCTGCGCTGCTGCTGCTGGAGGCGGCTCTGCCTTCAGAGCTGGGCTCCCGGACAGCAGCCGCTGTTCTCCAGCTGCCTAGCTTTGAAGGCAGCACTGCAGCTAGCAGCACCACAAAAGTAAGGGTAGCAGTACCACAACTCCCCCTACAATAACCTTCTGACCCTGCCACAACTCATTTTTGGATCAGGATCCCTACAATTACAACACCATTGTTGTACAATAAATTTCAGATTTAAATAGCTGAAATAATGAAAAGCCTATCACCGTGAGATTGACCAAAATGGAATGTAAATTTGGTAGAGCCCTAGCCATTTCCATTTATGAAGAGTGTGTGTACAATGCTACCACTTCTGTAAATGTGTGGAGAATTCTGGTTTGGTGGTATTTTATGACCTCTTAGCACAAATATAAATGACTACACAAGCTGGAGAATCCGGTTATTTGTTTATAGTCCATTTCCCCTGTTGTTAGTGTGGGTCTTTCACAAAACAACAGGGGAGAAGAAAATATTTTTTAAAGGAATATATGCTTTGAACAACACAAAACAAAAATATTGGCAGAGAAACTCAAGGGCAGTTTCCATATCTGACTGTACTTTGAACTTTTATTTTTAAGTGACTTAGATTTTAAATTGACAGTGTCCTTTTAAAAAGCTGGTGACTACAAATATTTACTTTTCTAGGTTTCCTTTCTTTGGAGCTCTTTGTAATGTAAAGAGCCCCAGATCATCTTGTGGAAGAGTGCTAATTACTTTAATGCTAAAAATAAATAAGAAACCATTGCCAATGGCAAAGAATTTTGATTTAGAATAAATAAACCTAAACACTTGGCTTTGTAGAAACACTTAGCTTTGAATTATTTCATTCACTATTTTTAACTTGGTTAGATCATTGAGAAGGTTATTCTTATTAGAACAGCAACAAAATCTATAATTAGTGAACCACACTATTCCATGTTTCTTTTGTCATAATCAGTTGTTCTGTAAGGATATGGGTGCTGTTGTTGTGATAATTTTGGAAGTATAAGTATGCTGAAATACTCTAAACAGAAGCTAGTGAGGGGGTAAGAAGGGATTGCAAGCCCAAACTGGGTCCAGTAGACAGACATACATTGCATTTGATACAGAAAAAAGGTTGGGTTGGGTGGAGGTGGTGGCAGTATCAGGAGAGAGATAGATCAAGATAAGATTCAGTGGAAGGGTGATGGATTTGCTGGTGACTTTTAGTTATAAATATATGGGAGGATCCTCTTCTGGGGAAAAAATTCAAAGCAGAGCCCTATCTTCTTTTTTACCTACATGCCACTCCTTTACTTTTAATATTTACATAATTTTTCCAGCTTTCCTACTTAGGTGAGGAGATATGAGCCTTTCTTATTGCATTTGCCAGTTCCT